GAGTTCTCGTATTGTGAAAAAGGGAGAAAAGTACCTCTTTCTCTACCTGCTCTTTCCCATGCATAATCTTATAAACCTCGATCATGTCACCCCTCAGCCGTCGTTTCTCCAAGCTAAAGAGCCCCAAGCGCTTTAACCTTTCCTCATAGGGAAAGTGTTCCAACCCTTTTATCATTCGAGTTGCCCTTTTCTGCACTTTTCCCAATGCTATAATATCTTTTTTGAGGAGTGGTGACCAGAACCACTATGAAACAATACTTACATGGAAGTGAATGATACAGAATGATACACAAAACCCGCACCATCGTCTTAAGTGGTTAGGCAGGGCTCTTTTTGTAGAAAAAGCCCAGCAAGAACTCATTAGCATAATAGGCCACACCCAACAGCAGAAACCCATTCGTGTATTAGGCCACACCTATGACAGCACAGGTCATTAGCATATTAGGTCACACCCCCATGTTACCAGAAGTGTGTTCATCCAGCCACACCCAACTTTTTGTTCTTGTTCTGTTTACCTTGTTTGTTGTCAAAACCCAGGGCTTTTTTTGTAGCAGGAACTCCTTTGCATGTTAGGCCACACACCCCTAATGTAGCCAATCCTAATGAATTTCTGCTGTTGGGTGTGGCCTATTATGCTAATTAGTTCCTGCTGGGCGTGGCCAGCTCGGGAGCCAGCTGGAACTCCGTTTCTGTGCATTCCTGCCCTGCCCAAAAATAGCCCTGAGTGTCAGACTAGGTTCTGGGAGACCCAGGTTCAAATCCCCACACTGCCCTGAAAGCTCACTGGGTGACCATGCACCACTCACACACTCTCAGCCTAAGTAATGTCACAGGACTGTAAAGATAAAGGAGAGGAGAATGAGGTAAGCTGCTGGGCGGGGGGGGGGAGGCAAGGCATAAATGAAATCGATAAATAACCTCATCTTAAGCGCTCTTCTGAAAGAACTTCACATAAAAACCTTTGGTGGCTTTCTGGATGCATTCCAAATCCACTCTGTTGCACTAAGCTTTTGAGAACGGGCTACTGTTTGCTTTGGCTTCCTTTGTGCCTTTTTATTGTTTCATAGTGGTTTATTCTTTGAGATGTATTCACTAAGGGTGTTCAGCTGCTTTCAGATTTAATTTTGTTTTATCAGCGTAGGCTGCCTTATGAGCCCGTTTGTGTGGACAAGTGGAGAAAGAAAATAAGATAAAGCTTAAACTACTTCCCATCATTTGTTGAAAGGGTAAAACGGAAGAGGGGAGAATGCTGCCTTGAACTACATGGAGAAAATAGAGGAGGAGATTGGATTTATACCCCGCCCTTCACTCAGAGCGGCTTACAATCTCCTTTCCCTTCCTCTCCCCACAACAGACACCCTGTGAGGTAGCTGGGACTGAGAGAGCTCTTTCGAGGACTGCTCTTGAGAGAACAGCTCTGAGAGAACTTGTGACTGACCCAAGGTCACACCAGCAGCTGCATGTGGAGAAGTGGGGAATCAGACCCAGTTCTCCCAGATCAGAGTCAGTGCTCTTAACCACTACACCAAATGAAGCATATAGATATGGGATAAAAAACGTTGAACTCAAAGTTACTACTGGAGGAAGGCAAAACCTTGTATCTCATGTCAGGTAACATATGAAGCTGCCTGCTGAGTCAGACCATTGGTCCATACAGGGCAGTATTTCCAGCTCTGACTGGAAGTCACTCTTCAATATTCTGAGCATGGGGAAGTGCAGGGGTCGTTTCGTAGAAAAAGAGCTAGGGGAACTCATTAGCATAACTCATTAGCATATGCCACACCCCCTGACATTACCGGAAGTGTGTCATAAGGCCACACACCCTGCCCCCAACAGTCCCGGCCGCCGCCGGCGGCCTTGCAGCTCCACTGCCAAGCCCCATGAGGGGCCCGGCGGTGGACCTGCAAGGCTGGCGGGAGTGCAAGGGAGCCCCGCGAAGGCCCTCCCTGGACCCAGGCAGGCAGGGGTGGGGAGAGGCAGGGGGGGAGCAACTTACCCTCCCTCTTCTCCTGCCTCCCCCTTGCTGGATGAGGGTCGGAAAGCAGGGGGCGGGGCTTCATCATGTGCCCCGCCCCCCTGTACATCACCCGGGGGAACTGCGATCCCCCCCGAAATGACCTCTGGGGAGGTGCATTCCCATCTCTATTACATTAAACTTAAAAAAAAAAAAAAAGATCTGGAGGCTGAAGCCTGGGAATTTGTCCACACAGAGCAGGTGTCCTACCTCTACTGCTCCTTCCCCTCAAAAATTAGGCTGTCAAGGACAGGACTTTGTGGGTCTCACTGATTTATATGGACCAAAACTCAACAAACAGCAGTCTGGAAGGGCTCTGAAATGAGGCGTAATGTGCCTGGGAACAGCATTACCCCACCACACCAGTAATCCCTGCAGTATATGAGACATCGTCCCACTGTGGTTGCCGGCTCTGAGTTCAGGAACACCAGATTTTGGAGGTGGAGCCTGGGGACGGTGGGGGACCTCAGTGGGGTATAACGCTATCAAGTCCACCTTTAAATGCAGCCATTTCCAGGGTTCTAATTCCACCACCTGGAGACTGGGAACGCCACCTCTTAGTCTCCAAACAACAAGCAAATAATTAAAATGGTATGGTAGCCTAAGGAGTTTGAGGAGCACGCCACACACACACACGAGAAAAGCCACCTTAACAATAGTTTAGGCAGGAATCCAGTCCTTTCCCACTCAAAACGCTGAGCAGAAGGATCCCTATCTGGAAATCAGCCACTTCTTACCTATGTGTGTTGGATGAAGGATAGAAATCCTCCATTTTAACCCTCTTGCACACAAGCCAGAAAGAGGGCGAGAATCAGAGGTTGCGCTATGTTGGGACGCGTGCCAGTTCAGCAACAGCTGGCTTGGGACTTTTGCCATCGGTAAGTTTTTTGCCTCGTGGAGAACGGTGGCTTTTTTGCTTTTAGTTTATTTTCATCCCTTAACATCCTCCAGAAACACTGTCTTGAGAGTTCTCTATTGAGAATCAAAGCCAAAAGTCTGGTTGTTTTGGGATGCCACTAAAGAAGAGACGTAAGCCTCCTGGAGGAACACAAGATATATATACGAAGTGATCATGTGAAAAGGCAGGGGGGGATGGACTGAGGGCTGGAGAAAACAGGGCACTTATCTGTGGCGACTGTGCCTCCTCAGGTAGGGTTTTTTAAAATTACGCAGAACAAACATCCCATAATTTCTTTATATTGTCTTTCTTCAATGATATGTTACCGCACTACACAGCAAGGAGTTGTCAGCTCTGGGGAATACAAATCGGGGGGTGGGGTGGGGATATTATTGAATTTTCCTGGTACTAAAAATGATCCAGCCCCCTTTTTCAACTTGAGGAAACAGACTGTTCACCAAAATACACCAAAGACTGAGTTCGGTGGCACCTCAAAGGGCAACAAAGTTTAATGCTGGGTATAAGTTTCCGTGTGCATGCACACTTCTTCAGGTACACAAGGGTGTTCGTGCAACACAGATCTGCAGTAAGGTTTTCCAAAAGCCGACGGTGCACTCCCTCCACAAGCCCCAAATATTGGTGTTTTCTTTTCTTTTTAAATCTCTAAGAAGGAAGCAAGATTTTAATATAACAGTAATGCAGTGCGAGGGTTAAGGACGTCCAGCTAAGGTAACACATGAACATATAGGGTTAATATAAGAGCAATGCGGTGCGAGGGTTAAGGACCTCGAGCTAAGGTCTGGGAGACCCCAGGCTCCAACCCCCTACCCCCACCCAGCCAGGGAAGCTCCACGAGCGACCCCTGGCTGGCCACTCTCTCTCTCTCTCTCTCTCTCAACCTAACCTACCTCACAGGGTTGTCATGAGGATAAACGGGAGGAAAAGAGAATGACGTAAGCGGCTTCGGGTCCGCTTTGGGGAGGAAGGTGGGGTATAAATGAAGTAAGTAAATCAATGCACAAACCAATTTGGCTGCTGTTTGTCAGGCTGAGATCCCACCCTACCTTTCGGTATTCTGGCTGCAGGTCTTCTTGAGGTCCCGTGTGCGATTTAGCCCAGAAAAATCCAACGAAGGGCACAGTGGCAAGAAAGTTACAGAGCAGCCCGCGCTGGGGGTTCTTGTCCTTCTGCTGTCTGAGTCCCCTCGAGCGGTATCGATAGGAAAGCAACAAACCGAGGGAAAAGAACACCAGCGTAGAGATCAGCACCTCCTTGTTGGCATAGCTCATCAGGTCTCCGCATTTCTTATAGACATAGATGAAGGAGGCGATGCCTAAAAAAGTCCACATGGCTGGGGAGATGGAGGGCGGGCTGCGTCAGTCTCCTGCGGTGGGTTCCTTTTGAGCTTCTTCCTGAAAGAGGTGTCCTGGAATAAAAGGTTTTCTGTACAAACCTGTGAACGTTGCTAGGAAATTACAAAGATCCCCATGTTTAGAAAAGCAGGAGGAAGGAAACACTTGAAAAATCTTACTCGGAAGCCAAGATGCTGCCCAAATGGCTACAAAAATTCAACCCTCAGTTTTTCCTACTGGATATACAAAAGTGATTACCAGGGAAGGGGAGGGAAGTTAAGTGATATTCAGCATTGCCTATTCCCACCTAATAATATATTTAGGTGAATTTACATATCCTGGGAAAGGGCGTTTTTACTTCCACTTGTAATGCATTTGCTGATTTGCTCCTTATCCCTTTCAAGTACAGCAGCCAAAAAAATAAAAGTTACTTCCTTTTAAATAAAAAAGTGAAATATCGAAATCCAAAAACCTGGCTCAGTTTCTTCACAGTCTTTTCAAGAGATGTCTGAAAAATTATCAAAAGGCAAAGAGTTAAACTAACTTGAGGCAGAGAGATCGGCAGGCCACGTTCAGTTTTTTAAGGGGGGTCCTTCTGTAGGTAAAAAAAGCAGCTCAGACAGGATTTTCTATCTCACCTGGATGCTTCCCAGCCTCAATTTCTTCCAGAGGCAAATATCTGAGCTGCTAATTCTTCTTCCTCCTTCTCCTCCCACCCCTTCAGGGAGATAATTCTCCTTCCCTGGGCATCCTCGTCACAGGTTCAGGCCAATTCCCACCTCCTTCATTGAGGAAAGGAGTCCAGTGATGGAGGATGCTCTTACCCAGCAAGGCTAAGCAAGGTGAAGAGAGGAGGGGCGGCCCTGCCAGGAGTGGGCGCGGCTTATGCTAATGACGCGCGCCCCTCCTCCCTCTTGTCAGCTCCGCGCGCCCGGCGGCCCAGCCCGTCCCAGCCAATCCGTCGCGCTATGCTGAGATGGTCTTATGGTGTCTAAGCCAATGGGCGAGGGAGGAGGGCGGGGTTTCGCATCCGGCGGGACCCTAGTACGATGTGACGTAAAGCACGAGAGATTTGGTGACGAGATAGTGCGTCCGGCGTTGCCATGGAATCGCCGGCCGTTCGGTGGGCTGGAGAGTTTGGGAGCGACCTCGCCAGAGATTGCGGGAGTTTTTTTTGAGTAAGGGAAGTGGAGAATTAGGAACGAGAGGGACTGGGCTTCACCGCGCTCATTGCGCAGGCGTCACAAATGCCCTTGCGCAGCGTGCGGCGAGAAATGCCGTTCGTGGGCTCAGTGACGGCAAGGCAGAAAAGGGCGGAGAAAACGCCCAGGAACAAGGCTGTAGAGGCACGGTTATTTTGAGCGCAGAGCTCCTGAGCATACGCAGAGGTGTGGGGGAAGTTGTTGCAGACCCGGCACGCGTCGATAGTCAAGCTATCGGTGCCATCCTTTAAAACTGACCCTCTTCAAGAACGGAAGCGAAAAGACAATCTGAGGGAAATTAAACCGTTTGAGGGAAGAAGACTAGAGGGGGCGGGATCCTGCTGTTCCACCAATGACCGCTTCGACGGTTCCACACTCCGCCAATGAGAGAACGCCTCCCGGCGGGGAAAGACGTTGCGCGGCCTGAGCCGAGCGGGGCTCCGCGTGGCAGTTTCCATGGCGACCGCGACGCGCGTGGAGCTGCGGCGGTTGGCGGAGGAGGCAGCGGCCCTCGCCGGCGTCGTCAGCGGCTCTCTGGGGCCCCGCGGCGGCCAAGTCCTGCTCACGCGCCCCACGGGGGAGGTGCTGCTGTCGCGGGACGGGCGGCGGGTGCTGGAGGCGCTGAACGTGGACTCGCCCACGGCCAGGTAAGCCTCCGCCACGGGAGAGGAGACTTTCGTCCCGCCAGTCCGGCACGTGGCTTGGCCTGCGGAACTCGCGGCCACGACGTCGTGGCCAGTAGCTGAGGCGGGTTTTTCAGGGGGGGGTGGCGTTGGACAGATTTGTAGGGCTGCCAGTCTCCAGGTCGTCAGACGCGAAAGAACACTGATGAATGCAACTCGCAAGTCCTGTATCAATGCCTTTAGATAAAATTGTAGCTATAGCTTGGAGCTTTTGACTTTGTATTAAGTACTTTCGGAGATGTTATGAGTAAAGTCTGATAACTTGGTATATATTGGGGATATACATGCCTGTGTTTCTAAATATTGTCTCTAAAGGCATTGGTATAAGACTTGTAAATTGCATTCAGTGTGATCTTTTGTGTTTGATCATTTGGGCGCTGTGTTTTCCCCTTCTTTGGCCTTTTTCACCTCCGGGTGGTGGCTGGAGGTCTCCCGCTATTACAACCGATCTCCAGGTGACAGGGATTGGTCCCCCTCGAGAAGATGGCCGCTTTGGAAGATTATACCCCACTGAAGTCCCCCCGCTCCCCAAACCCCTCACTTCTCAAGCACTACCCCCAAAATCTCCAAGTATTTTCCAACCCAGGTCTGGCAACCCTATTTATGGAGGACAGGCCCATCAAACCATGAGAGCCAAATAAGGTTTTTGCAGTCGGCTCACTCAATTGTCTCATTTCCACCATAATCTGACACAAACACCTAGACCTCACAATAGATGGCTTGTGGCAAGAACCACACCGGGAGGGTTAAAACATTATTGAATTTGATTCTTTCCTGAAGGTCCCAATGCTCCTTGTAAGATAGCCACAGCTTGCAGTATGGCTTTTAAGCAAGGATGGACCTGATTGTCCCTTGAAGCTACCTTATACTGAGTGAGACCAGTGTTCCTTCTAACCTGAGTTAGTGTGAGCTAGCTCACAGTTTTTTAGCCTCCGGCTCACACATTTTTCTCTTAGCTCAGGAAGGATGGCTCCAGAGCAAATTAATTTATGCAGTACACAAATCACTCACTCAACAACTTTGATGCCAGTAGCTCACAAAGTAGAATTTTTGCTCACAAGACTCATAAGAACATAAGAGATGCCAATGTTGGATCTGGCCAAAGGCCCATCCAGTCCAACACTCTGTGTCACACAGAGGCCAGAAATACCAGGTGCCATCAGGAGGTCCACCAGTGGGGCCAGGACATTAGAAGCCCTCCCCCTGTTGATCCCCCCCCCCCAAGCACCACAGCAGCTTAGAGGGAGCATTGAGTGAGACCCTGGTCTGTCAAGGTCAGGAGTGTCTGCTGCGCTCTGACCAGCAGTTTTCCAGAGTGAAGATCTTCAGTATCACCTGCTTTCTGGTTCTTTAACTGATGATAGCTGGGATAGAATGTGCGTCCCTTTGCCTGCAGAGCAGATGCTCTCCCACTGAGTCACAGTCCGTCCCTGGAGGTAGTGGCTCACTGAAAACTTCATACAGCATTCACAACAGAGACCACATCAGAATCTGAGGCTCAAAGTTCAGCCTCTGATGCAAAGCTGAACCACTGCCCTTTTGCTGAACCACTGCCCCGTTCCTAAAACCCACATAAGTTTCTAGTGTAGTCTGTATAGATAGCTTAATGAGTACATATGCCTGTCCTGTATTGAGGCAGGCAATTGGTCTATTAAGGTAAGGTCAGATGGCAGTGGCTCTCCATGAATTAAGGTCTATCACATCAACTACTACTGAATGCTTTTATCTAGAAATGCTAGGATTGATCCTTGGACCTTCTGTGTGCAAATCAGATGCTCTGTTGCTAAGCTGTAACCTCATGCACACCAAGAGAAGCTGGGGAGCAGTTCATAAGTGAGGGCTGTTGTCTGCAAGCTGTGTTTGGGAACTTCCCTGTATTATTTGAGTGGCCATTGTTGAAAACAAGAATGCTGAACTAGATTGACCCTTGGTCAATCCATGTGGTTCTTCTTACATTCCTAAAATACAGTGATGAATGTCAGCTGTCTGCATATGCAGGAGAATGAGGTGGTAGTGAAGTATACCATTTCAAACTGCAAATGGTCAATGCTGGTCTTGCATGTGCCTCCATGTTTTAAAAAAATCTCAAAAAGAGAAAACTGACAGGTCAAGAAGAAAACTAGCATTCTGCCTGCTGTGCTAGTTATCTCTTTGCAAGGCGTTTTTAACACCATGGATCATTTAGAAATTCACTTTCCTGCCTGCAGTCTAGTATAGCTCACTGTACTGTTTCATTTCCACTTCAGTCTACTGTATATGCAGAATGTATATCAGGCTTTACATGGCTTCTAAAGAGGACTTATGGAAACTCATGGAGGAGAGGTCCCTCACTGGTTCTTAGCCATTGGTGCTGAACAGAATCTCTCATCTTAAGAGGCAGTGTTGTTGGAGAGAGACATTGTGGGCAGACTGTTTTCATCATTCATGTATTTGCCACCTCATAATCCACAAAGGTCTTGAGGCAGCGTACAAAAATAAAAATCTTTCGATAGGCAATTGTAATCAGTTTTTAAAAATCCAGAAATAATAATGTTCTTTGAAAAAAACTTGTCACTGTCTTTTGAGGTTGTGAGATTAGCATTATGGACTTAAGGAGGTTTGCCAGGCATTTGTTGCCTTTCCCTATGCTGTGATCCTAAAGGCAGCATGAAAGTAGAAATGGAAGTTAGACGTACCAAACTTCCATTGTCAGCTGAGCAACTGAAGCATTTTACAGAGTAGTCCTAAGCAGGTCTTACTTGGAATGCTATTTTATTCAGCTCAGTGGGGCTTATTCCCAGGAAAGCACTGTTGCTGTGCAATTTATTTCACGGAGTCTTAGGGTCACATCACACAAATGGATCACAGAGGGCTGTGGCTAGAAAGTGTTCATGTGGAAAACACTCGTTATAGAATGAGAGCATTTGTATGGGTGTCTTCTCCATAGCTGCCACAACTTGTAGAATTTTGGCAGCTTGGTAAAGTCTTGCCATTATCACAGAAATATAATAACTACGCAACATGGGTATTCCCGCAACTTTAATATAAGTATTTTCTAAGACTGATTTCCCACAAGGTGCTGCTCCGCCCTCATGCTTCCCTTTCCCCCGATTACATTAGTCAATTTCCCACTACTTGCTGCGTGGCCACATTTTGCCCTGCAGCTTCGCCCGATTTTCCCCGCATCAACTTGATCCTCAAAAAACAGGATCAAGTAGACACGGGAGAAATCGGGTGAAGCTGTGGGGCAAAATGCAGCCGCGCAGCAAGTAGTGGCAAATTGACTAATGTAATGGGGGGGAAGGGAAGTGCGAGGGTGGAGCGGCGGCTTGTGGGAAATTGGTCTAAGTTACAGCCTGTGGTGTGCTATTGGAGCCTTCGGTTAAGCAGGAGCTTGCTGTTGAGCACTGACAACTAGATTATATCCTAGGAGTTAAATATAACAATGTAAATGTACAAATATGTTAATATACAAGGGTTTTGTTCTGGGGCCAGGACATTAGAAGCCCTCCCCGTGCAAGGAAGAGAGAAACATAAGGAAAAGTGTTATGGATTGAACCAAATATTTGAGCGAAATGGTTATTTAAATACACGTTCTTGTTTTGAACAGGATGATGATAGCATGTATTTCCACGCACTGCAATCTGATTGGAGATGGTGCTAAAACATTCATCATCCTACTCTCCGCTTTCCTGCAAGGACTTGAGAAACTTATTGAAAGAGATGGTGCTCCCTTTTGCAAGAATGTGCAAGGAAGAGAGAAACATAAGGAAAAGTGTTGTGGATTGAACCAAATCTCCCGGTTTCTTATGATGCTCCATACCAGCATCCTGGACCGCATAGTGATACAGGACCTACAAAAACATTTTCTGACAGTCTTTTCCGCTTATGATACAGACATAAATAGAAGCGCAGTGGAGTCTGTATTAGAAGCTTATTTTTGTGGGAAAGTAGCCAATGATAGGCAAGAGTTTCTTTCCCAGTTGAGCTGCGATTTCTACTACAAAGCAACCGCTGGTAAAAATGCAACTGAAGTACTACATTTGATGGATGAATGTTTTGCTGAGTTGCATACAGCTGTAACGGGCCTTCCTGTTTCAAGTTCAAGGATCCTAGAAGGGCTTGTTCTTCAAAGAGATTTTGCTGTGTATTGTCCCTCAGAGGGTGAGAAAAGAATTATTATCATAACAGAACCTATCCATACAGCTCTTTCTGACTTGGGCATAGAAGTGGTCATAACTACCGAACGTCACTATCAAGCGTCTGAACTCTGGATTACAAAAAGAACAGAAGCTATAATAAAACACATGCAGCACAGTAATATCAAGGTATTATTGTCCAGTGTGAAACAACACGAAGTGGTTCATTACTGTGCAGAAGGTTGTGGCATATCCATCGTAGAATGTCTGTCACTGGAGGAAATCTCTCTTATTTGCAGGATTACAAGAATCTCACCTTTTAGGCCTTCACAGGACAATTTTCACACTGCGGTCACGGAAGCTGGTGTTGCAAAATTTTGCCAGCCTCTGCGGCTTGGTGCAAAGAGATATGTCCACATTGGTTTGACAGGGACTCATGCTTTTCAACCTCACTGCATGATTCTCTGTGGGCCTGTCCGTGGGGTTACTGAGCAGCATGCTTGTGCTTTTCATGGCGCGTTCAAAATGCTACGGCAAATGTTTACGGTAGTTAACCTAACTGAGTGTCATGAACCAAAATCCGAAAGTCAGAACCTTTTAAACAGTCAGCGGGGCTTGGCTGAAGAGCAATTTAAGGAGGAACCCACTGACTGTGATAATATTCAGGCTCTTGACAAGCAACTGATACCTTGTGGGCCTGAAACAGAAAAGCTAGTTTCTACTCCAGTAGGAGCCAAAGAGCTAACGGATTTATGTATGCATCTGTGTAAGTCCTCGTGCATCGCCACACCCTGTGCAGATTTAGGACATAATACTGTGTACTCGGTACTGAATCAAAGTGGAAATAGTATTGTTGACTTACAAAAGCTACCTCTGGAATATAAGCATCCAGACAAAGTGGGAGTTCCTGAGAGTGAGCTGTCTGAAAAGATTCAGCATGTTCACACTAAAGTTGAGGAAAGCATGAGGTGCAGACATGCATTAGTACAGCCACAAGCCCATAAGGATGGCTACACAGGGCCCAGTTATGGAACTTCAGTTAAAGATGAAGGGAGTAACAAAAGCTGTCTCCAAGGTAATGCCAGCTGTTCTATAAAGGCAGGAGCAGTTGTGCCAGTTGGTGGAATCTTTGAGATCCTGTTGCATTACTACCTGTCTTGCTATGCAAAGCAGTGCCAGTCAACCTGTACATCCACCCTTTGCTTCCTAATTGCTGATGTGTTGCTAAGCATTCCAAAAACCCTCTGCAAGACACAGAAAAAGAACACTTTTGCTCGGCTGTATCTTGAAGTTACCGGTGCCCTCAGAAGTAAGCAGCAGCTACTGCTGACCGATCACAAAAGCCTCGAATCGGTATCTTGCAAGTACCACTTGGTGGCTTCTGTTGTTCAGTGTGCCGCGAGGCTTCTTAGTATTGACCTGATAGTTGGCATTAAGAAGGTGCCTCAGAAGGCCGTGGAAAGCGACTCAGAAGGCGACCAGTGAAAGCAGGCTGTTAGTTGTGTTTGGTAGCCGCTGGAACCAGAGGCCACTCCTTGAGACTACTCAGCAGTTTCTTGGTCCTGAAAGCAGCTATTCCAGTGTATTCCCCAAGCAGCTTGGACCTTCCAGTGCAATACTGCTCAGGCAGACAATACCAGTGGTGGAAAGTGCCATTAAGTCTCAGCTGACTTATGGCTACTCCACAGGGTTTTCAAGGCAAGAGGCAAACAAGAAGTAAGTTTGCCTTTGCTGCCTCTGCCAAGCAACCCTGGGCTTCCTTGGTGGTCTTCCATCCAAGTACTAGCCAGGGCTGACTATGTTAGTTTCTCAGAACTGACAAGATCAGGCTAGCCTGGGCCATTAGGTCAGGGCCGTTTCTCAGAACTGACAAGATCAGGCTAGCCCGGGCCATCAGGTCAGGGCCAAAACAGGAGTTATTCTGCCTAGGGTTGTAGATTCCCTAACACTAGGTGGAGGAGGAGAAGCAAAGCAGGTGCAAGTTTTCTTGAATCCTGTACAGTATTTCTTGTAGACAGCTGGAACAAAGGAATGCAGTTGACATTTAGGACTGTGATTCTTGGCATGGGTTTGCTGTTAAATATGGTGCTAAGCAGTGCATTAAGACTGCAGGCTGTCTTTGCATTACTTGTGGAGGAAGCTCCTGTCCGGCTCCAGACTCATCCGAAACAGCAGGGTTGCCATGCCTCCCTACACTGCTGAGGAATGACACCCCACCTCCCAGGGACCCAGCTACAGGATGGATTACAGGGCAGGGCTCCCAAGCCCCCAAAGCAGGGGCCCCCACAAGGCTGGGTCAAGGTGAGGGAACAAGGGAGGAGGGAGTGGGGACGGGAAGATGCTAGCAGGGACAGACACCTTTGGCTGAGACACGGAAACGCTGAGCACAGCCACACCCAAGCACACCAGGAAGGACAGACACAAGGGAGGAGCTAGGGAAGAGGGGTTGAAGAGGGAAAGTAGAAGGACCAATGGGAAAGGTGGAGAGGGGAGACAGACAAGAGAATCCACCACTCAAGGGAACAGAGGAGAGCGGGGAAGCACAGACAAGTGAGAACAAGTATAAAAAGGGACCAATAGCTGAGGTAGAGGAGGAATTTGGCCTGAAGTCTGCACCAGAGGGAGAGACTGGGAGTAGGCTACTGGGGTGAAGTAGCCCTAGTGTTGGATCCCCAAGCATCGAGAATAAATCCACGTTTTAAAGAAAAGCAAAATTTATTTCAAAGCGTTGAAGACATACTCAAACACGTTCTTTGTTAGAACTGGGGATACACAGTTAGGTCAAGCATAATAAAGGAACTTCAAACAGATACAGATCCAATGAATATCTTTCCCGCTGGCGGGCTAAGGAAACGGTTGCGCGCCCAGTACATGAGAACCAGGCAGAACATCAGACAAAACACAGGTGCAGTAGTCCTGGGAAAATCAATAGGCAAGCATTACAGCATCTTCTCCCCCACACAACCTCCAGCAGTTATCTTTTGCATTCCAAAGCAGGAACAGGATGATAGAAGCCAAGCCGGGTGTAACAGGGAAAGGATATGTACACAGAGGTCACAGAAAACAGAATGGCAGCTTGCTGACACCTAGCCCTCCCAAATCTGAGACCTCAGCGTCCCTGGGACAATGGCAGAGGGGGGAAGCACCATGAGTGAGACAGGAAAATCTCACAGTCCCATTGAAAGAGGGCTCTGCCTGTTGAAAATTCTGAAGGCTCCACCATCAACTGGCAAAGAAATCTGGAAGGAGAGAGGTATGTCAGTAGGTATCTATTATAAGGTGGTGTCTATGCGTCCCTTGGCGATTTTTACAGTAGTGTCCAGAAAATGTGTTTCTTATGTTTGTTGTTGTTGTTAGTCATTCAGTTGTGTCCAACTCTTGGCAATTCTTATATAGATTGGTTCATTGTCAAGTTGATGGTGGGGTGAGAGTCATTGGATGCCTGTTGAAATATGTCCAAGGCTTCTTTACCGTGTGTCCAGACAATAAAAATGTCATCAATATATCGCAAGTATAAGAGAGGTGGGTGGGAGTATTGCTCCAAATTAGCATATTGTGGGGCCATGGCTGTACCATTGATCTGTAGGAACAAGTTGTTACCAAATTTAAAGTGGTTGTGGGTGAGAACGAAGTGGCACAGTTTGGTGGCAAAGTCAGCTGTGGTGCTGTCAGAAAACATATTCTTTATGGCTTGTAATCTATCTTTGTGTGGGATGTTGGTATACAGAGACTCAACAACATCCCTTAAAGCAGAATCTCAACCATTCTGAAAGGAAGGCCATAGACAGTCTCAGAAACAATCCAGGTATTATAATTAAAGAGGCACACAAGGTTGGAGCAGCTGTCATCATGAGTAGATCCATCTACATCCAAGCGGCTCAAAGACAACTCTCAAATACTGCTTTTTACAAGCAACTGGACTCAGACCCCAAACAGGGGGGGAAAAAGAACTAAACAAGATTATAGAGGAATTACCACTGCACATTCAGGAACAGATCCTTTCAGACACACCGCAGGAACCTCGACCAGGTACCTTTTATCTTCTACCCAAAATACACAAATCCAGCAACCCAGGAAGACTTTCCATTATCTCAGGCATAGGCACTATCACCGTGGGGGTATCCGGATATATGGACTCTGTTCTGAGACGCTGTGCCACCACAGACTTCCTGAGGGAAATACAGTCTTTGAACAGTACAATCCTTATGGGTGCCCTCTAGTGTATGCAAACTGAAATACAGCCAATGTTTTGAGGCATGTTATTTTTAAATGTAAATGTTTAAAGGATCTGCTGCTGTTATTTTTTGAAATACCCCCGCACTGTCTGCAAACAGCTACAAGAACAGCTTTCTGTCTAAGTGAAGCAATAACAATCATTAAAGCGAATCAGTAACTTACAGTAAAATAATGAATAATTAAAAGCAGCCGCGTTTGATGACAACAGCAGACCAATAGCAGTAAAAACAATCGACCAGATTTAAACAGGGATGCATTTAAAATTAGCATGAGGTAAAAATGGACTCTGCAAAGGTAAAAGTCATAGACAGATCAGGATTTCGAAAAGGAGAGAAAGTGGTAGGCAATCTAACATTAAGCCCAATTATACATAGTGGTAGGCAATCTAATATTAAGCCCAATTATACATAGTGCTTTAATTTATGTATGTGGATTTCCTAAGGCCCCCATTTCCTCACCTGTGCACGTTCAGGTCAGGCCACGGGAAATGTAGCCCTGTATGTTACAAACATGACACCTTAAAAGTCGACACCAGCCTGAGCATGAAACAACTCAAAGAAACAGTACAAGATCGGAAAATGTGGAGAGAGCTGGCCCATAGAATAGCCAAGAGTCGAACATTTTTAGTTGAGGCAGCACGCATCCTTTTATCTAGCTATTGGGCCTCCCCTTCGGTGGATCAGATCTGAGCAATATCTGGAACCCAGTTGTGACAGGTTACATCTGTTGAGGCTTTGATCAGAGATATAGGAATTGCACTGTATTTTATCTGATGTATTTTAACTGTTTTTAATTATTGTATATTATATATGATGGAACCCACCCTGAGACCGCTATGTGGGAAGGGCGGAATTTAAATCCAATAAAATAAATAATATAAAATTGACTGAATAGCTAACAACAGCAGCAACATGTTACAAACTGTAACATGTCATTTCTCCCTCTGAGAAATGGGACAGGTAAGCCTGGAGATTAAACCTGGAGATTAAAACCAGGAGATTAAAACCAGCAGCGCTTGGAGCTTGGACTTCTGAAGCTGATCCAGCCTGGATTGAGGAGGCTTGCTCAGTGGACCTCACAGCCATTTGCAAACTGGGGCTTGGTCCTGACAGCTTGCTACTACTATAACACAAATTGCTCCTTTGTGTATCCTGCTGCAGACAGGTTTTGACAGCTGCAGCCCCACCTAAGCCTTTCTCTCTGATGTTTCCTCCATGCTTATAAGGAATAACCTTGTTTAATTTTAGGAATGTACAAGTGAGGGGCCTGCAAAAACTTGGAGAGGGTCTCATTTTGCCCTGTACTCCCCTGCACTATTATACCTTTCCCTTCATTGAAAGCCCCTACAGTCTCCCCCCCCCCTTTCCTGCCTCCTCCTCTCCCCAGTCCCCACCCACCAGACAACCTTTCTATTCACAACACTTTCCCTCACCCTGGCAGCTACCACTGAAAAAAGCCATCCTGGGTCTCATTTTCTCCCCCTTCTCTGTGCAGTGTAGTACAGCTTATCTGCTGTTATGTGCTTCCTCATCCCAGCTCCACATCTTTGGCTTTCAGGGATGAGGAAAACCTCCACTTCATGGCATCACCACATCAGCTATGTTGTACTAAATGTGACGTCTGTGGGGAGTGGGAGTATGAGACACTGCTGCCATTTTCAGTGGCAGCTATGTGTTTCACATAACGTTGAGTGGAATGACACATCATCGAAAGCATTTTGCCTCCCGCCCTACAAATGTGCAACCCTCAGGGATGGTATCGGACAGCACAGCTGAGCATCTGTTGAGGCCATGCCCTGGCAGAGGACTCACTGCTGACTCACAAGCTGGGTTGATCGCACACTCCCAGAAGTGCCTGGTGGCAGCAGAGGAAGCAGAGCATAAGAGAATCACGTTCTTCTACCTTTTTAAAGCACCCTTCCCAATCAATCTGGAGACCCCTGCTACATTGCAGGGTGAGGTGATGAGTGATGCTACGGGGAGTGGAGCGGTGATTATTCTCTCATGCTCTTCTGGATCCACCACCACCGCGGCTACAAGAAGATGACATTCTGCTTCTTCCAGTAGACCAGAAAGACAAAAATAGGGACCACAGTGGAATAGATCCAAGCAAAAAGAAACACTGTGTACGAAATCCAAAAAAGAAAGTAAACAATTTGGTAGACTCTAAAGAATTCAGCGGACAGCGGAAGACAGGAGGGCCTGGTGGGAGCTGGTCCATGGGGTCGCGAAGAGTCGGACTCGACTGTG